GCTAAGGAAGGTGATGTGGCTGTAGTACCTGGTTTGCTTCAGGACGTGGTCGAGCAGTTTCAGGGCCGAAGAGATTACGAGAGAGTTGCAGTGGGAGAGAGATCCCTTGAGGTTTGTCCGGAGGGAGGAGGGTAACTTCTTCAGGTTAGGCATCCTTAGAAGAGGTTTCGCAGTGGGGTTAAAATCGAATCAGAGATAGTAGGAACTGCAGATGCTGGAGAATCCGAGACAACAAGGTGCAGGGCTGGAGTGAAGGGTCTAGGCCCGAAACGTCAGCCTCTCTGCTCCTATGATGCTGCTTGGCCTGCTGTGTTCATCCAGCCCTGCACCTTGTTGTCTCGGATTCTCCAGCATCTGCAGTTCCTACTATCTCTACTATCTAGGCTATAACTAAATACTGTTTCACTTCCTTATTGTCAGTTTTGCTTTCTTTCTGTCTGAGCAGTTCCTACGGCCTCCCTGCCCCCCTCTCTCTCTCTCTCTCTCTCTCTTTGTCTGTTTTCCTGCTGTTTGATCACCCAATCAAAGTTGGTTCACTCACGTTACAATACTGTCTTGGACAATGGTCATGATTCTCACGGACCGCACCCCCCTGCAGGAGTTGGAGTTAAGGCTAGAGCCATACTGTGCTCTTTCACAGTGATCAGGATTTTTACTTCCTCAGTGGCTGGCGAACGTCAGAGGGAAGTTCAATGTTGAACACCCAAAAAAAAATCCCAGTCACACGACAGGTCCATTGAAGAGCCATTTCCCCCACAGTCTGACAGCGAACAAACACTGGCCAGGTGTATTCCCCCAACATTTTCAGAAGATTGAGGGGGGATCTTATAGAAACATATAAAATTATGAAGGGAATGGATAAGATAGAAGTAGAAGGGATGTTTCCACTGGCAGGTGAAGCTAGGACAAGAGGGCATAGCCACAAGATTAGAAGGAGTAGATTTAGGACTGAATTGAGAAGGAATTTCTTCACCCAGAGGGTTGTTAATCTATGGAATTCCTTGCCCAGTGAAGTAGTTGACGCTACTTCAGTAAACGTTTTGAAAAAAAAGTTTTTTTTTGAACAATAAAGGAATTAAGGGATACGGTGAGAACGCGGGTAAGTGGATCTGAGTCCACGAAAAGATCAGCCATGATCTTATTGAATGGCGGAGCAGGCTCAAAGGGCCAGACGGCCTACTCCTGCTCCTAGTTCTTTATGTTCTAACATGGGATCTGTGAATCTCCTCACCCACCCCCTTCCCCATCTACACACACACCAGACCCCTATCGGAGAGGGATTAACTCTCTCACCCACCCTCTCCCCATTTACACACACTCATCTGTTCCCCTATTGGAGGGGGATTAACCCTCTCACCCACCCTCTCCCCATTTACACACACTTGTCTGTTCCCCTCTCAGAGGGGGATTAACCCTCCCACCCACCCCCTCCCCCATTTACACACACTCGTCTGTTCCCCTAGTGGAGGGGGATTAACCCTCTCACCCACCCCCATCCCCATTTATACACACCGGGCAGCCTGTTCCCCTATCAGGGGGAGATTAACCCTCCCATCCTTCCCCATTTATGCCTATCAGAGGTGGATTAAATCTCTCCCCCTCCCTGTCCCTATTTACAGATACACTCAGAGATTCCATACTCTACAGCAGGAGACCACTCAGCCCGCCAATGTCATAGATTAATACACGGAAACAAACCCTTCGGTCCAACTCATCCGCTCCAACCAGACATCCTAACCTGAGCTAGTTGCATTTGGCCCACATCCCTCTAAACTATTTCTCCGTATGTACCTATCCAGATGCCTTTTAAATGTTGTAATTGTACCCACCTCCACTTCCTCTGGCGACATTTTCCGTACACGCACCACTCTCTGCATGAAAAAGTTATCCCTCAGGGAGCTTTTAAATCGTTCCCCTCTAACCTTAAACCTATTTTTGGACTCTCCTACTGTAGGAGAAATGCTTTGCCTATTTACTCTACCCATACCCCTCATGATTCATAAACCCCTTTAAAGTCACCCCTCAGCCTCCAGCGCTCCAGGGAAAATAGCCCCAGTCTATTCAACTTCTCCCTGTAACTCATCCCTCCAGACCCGGCAACTTCCTAGTAAATATTCACTGCATCCTTTCACGTTTGACAACATCAATCAAGAGGTCCAGGGTAATGCTCCGGGAGGTAGTTTCAAATCCCAAACTGCTGGAGGTCAAATACAATCCGGAATTACTCTCCACGACGGTGTCACAATAGTGAAATCGTGTGACTTGGATTATGCTGAGCGAGTGAGCACATGTATGTTGCAGCAGCGGTGTAATGTGGATAAATGTGAGGTTATCCACTTTGGTAGCAAAAACAGGCAGATAGATTATCATCTAAATTGTGATAGAATAGGAAAGGGGAAGATACAATGAGATCTACCTGTACACCATTTGCTGAAAATAAGCATTGTAGGTCCAGCAGGCAGTGAAGAAGACAAATGGTACATTGGCCTTCATAATGAGAGGATCCAAGCACAGGAGTAGGGATAAAAAGTTTTCCTGGCCAACATCTCTGTCTCTGTCTCTGGCTGCAGTGTTCCAGTGAAGCCCAACACAAGCTGGAGGAACAACACCTCATTTTCCGCTTGGGGATCCTACAGCCCTCTGGACTGAGTTCAATAATTTTAGGGCCTAAACTCTCCCATGTCCCAGCCCCCCACCCCACACACCAGGCTTTGTTACCACATAGCCTGCCATTACACACCCCCTGTTGTTAGTCACTAACAGTCCCCATTAACAACTATTCACCCTCTCAGCCTGATCATTAGCAACTCCTTTGTCTGTCCAACTGTCTTTTTCTTTGGGCTCTATCCTATTGTTTACTCTCTACCCCACCCACCTCCCTATTTTCTGCATACAAACTGACATTTCCAGCCACCATCAGTTCTGAGGAAGGGTCACCGGACCCGAAACGTTAACTCCGTTTTCTCCTTCACAGATGCTGCCAGAACTGCTGAGCTTTTCCAGCAACTTTGTTTTTGTTCCTGATTTACAGCATCCGCAGTTCTTTTGGTTTTTATAGGATAGGGATGTCTTGCTGCAATTGTACAGGGCCTTAGTGAGACCAAACCTAGAGTATTGTGTGCAGTTTTGGGTCTCCTTACCTGAGGAGGGAGGTTCTGGCAATGGAGAAAGTGCAACAAAAGTTTACCAGCCTGATTCCTTGGATGGTATGAGGAAAGATTGAAATGGTCAGGATTATATTCTCCTGAGTTCAGAAGAAGTTGTGGGGGAAGATATCTCATACAAACCTATAAAATTCTAACAGGACTAGATAGGGTCAACACAGAAAGGATGTTACCATTGACCGGGGAGTCCAGAACAGGGGGTCACAGTCTAAGGATGTGGGTTAGGACGGAGATGGGGAGAAATGACTTCACCTAGAGTGCGGGGAGCCTGTGGAACTTTCTGCCACAGCAAGCAGTTGAGGCCAAAATATTGAATGTTTTCAAGAAAGATTTTGATATAGTTCTTGGGTCTACAGGGATCAAAAGGTATGGGGGAGAAAGCAGGAACAGGGGACTGAGTTGGATGACCAGCCATGATCTCATTGAATGGTGGAGCAGGTTTGAAGGGCTGAATGGCCTACTCTAGCTCATATTTTCTGTTTCTTTTTCACCCATTTTTGGGAAAATCCCAGTTCACTTATGCCCCGGAGGGAAAGGGAATCTGCTGTCCTTATTGGGACTGGCCTACATGTGACTCCAGGCCAACAGTGATGTAGAGGGGGAGGTTTTGGGGGAAATGGCAGGTTTCTTATCTACTCTCTGAACAGTGAACAGAGAGGGACAAAATCACTTAGTGCACACAATGCTTAATCTCTCCTATTTGGAGGGGACCGGTTCATGGAACATCTGCGCTCCACACGCATCAACCAACTTGACCTTCCAGTTGCCATCCATTTTAATTCCCCATCCCACTCCTCTGGTGACATGTCCATCCATGCCCAATGGCCTCAATATTGACCTCACCAGCTTCAAAATCTCTCCATCGCCAGCCTTATCCAATGTCCAGCCTTCCCCCTCTCCTCATCTCCCCAACCTTACCTAAGCTGTTCATCTTCCTACTCACTTTATCTGCTCCACCCTTCCTACTGACCAATCACAATAACCCCCTATCTGCAACCACCCCACCTACCCTTTTCCCAGCCCCACCTCCCCCTTCTGTTTACTTCTGGGCTCCCCTCACCCTCCCCAGTCTTGATTAAGGGTTTCAGACTGAATCATTGACTTTTCTGCTCCTCAGATGCTGTCTGACCTGCTGGGCATTTCCAGTCTCACACCTATTGACTCTGGTTTCCAGCATCTGCGGTCCTTACTATCTCAGTTTGAGTAAAGTTCATTGAAATTGGACAATAATAATTTTACTTCCTTATTTAATTGCTTTGGGAAAAATTAGGAAGGAGGATCCCACAGATTGCCTCAGGAAAGGGAAATGCAGCCTCCCTGTACTGAGAAGTCGGAATCAATGACCAAGCGTTGGCCCATTTTGGTAATTGTTAAAATGTTCTTTAGTGTCCCACAAACACTGGGCATAATGCAGGGGCACACTGTCAGGGTAATGTAGAGAGAACTCTATACCACATCTAACCCTGTGTTGTCCTTGTCCTGGAGCACTTGATACTGGCACTGGGTATAAAGTGGGTAGGGTCGGGGTCACACTATCATGGTAATGTAGAGCGAGCTCTACCCTGTATCTAACCCTTTGCTGACCCTGACCTGGGAGCACTTCATGCTGAGACCGAGTATAAAGTGGGGGACCACTATCAGAGTAATGTATAGGCAGCCCTACATTGTATCTAATACCGTGCTGTCCCTGTCCTCGGGTGTACTCGATGCTGACACTGGGTGTAAATTGGGGGTACATGCCGTCAGGATAATGCAGAGACAGCTCTACATTATACCTAACCCCTATTGTATTGTACCTATCCTTGGAATACTGCAAATAAAGCAAAATGATGCTGGTTTAATTGTTGTAAAAATTTTATTTTGTCTTTTCAGAAAACATTTTCCCTTTTCGCAATATATCTTGGCACAGTTAATAATGACACTTGGAATCCTGGTTTGAGAACTGAGGACAGACACAGTCCCTGGTCAGTGGGTCAAGTGTCCGAGCAGGTGAGTATTCACTCTGCTTTCCAGTTGAAGCAAATAAAAAGAACAAAGACAGAGAATTATTTACAAAATTAAAACCTCGCAATGTTCTCCCCCATCCTGCGGGAACTGTTCAGTGCTCATCCCTCCTGAGGTCTTTGATGAGGGGCCTCAGTCAATTCCCTTTCCCACACCCAATCCCATCGTCGGAAGCGTCCTCTGGGGTGTGACATTAAACTGGGGCCCTCTCTGGGATGAACAATATCCCTCCCTCAAGGTATTGTTGAGGAGGGGCAAGAACTTCCCTGGTGGTTGGGGGGCCTGGTACGAACTCCTCAGACAACATGGCCATCTCAAAGCACAGACCGTCTGACCGTTGGTCGGTTCATGGGATCTTGCTGTGCACAGGTTTAGAGGCTACGTTTGTCTATGTTACAAAACTTTATTACTATGGATTACTTCATGGGCTGGGTATGTTTCTGTCACATTCTGAAGTTGAGAAGTGCAAAACAAATGTCTTTTTATAAAGTGCACCTCTTTTACAAAGACCTGTGCTCAATGGGTTAGACATTTGAGGGCTTATATGCATTGTCTCTCAAACTTTAGTTTGACAATACTTGAACTGATCGTTCACAGTTCCAGTCTCTGTATTACACTGGGAGTCACTGTGTACAGTTCCAGTCTCTATCACACTGGGAGTCACTGTGTACAGTTCCAGTCTCTGTATCTCATGTACTGAGTGAGCTGTTTGAAATGATAAAAGGATTTGACAGAGTAGATGCACAGAAAATAGTTCAACTCGTGGGTGAGAGCAGACCAAGGGGGCCATCGATATGGGACTGTCACCAATAAATCCAGTCAGGCATTCCGGAGAAACTCCGGACTGACAAACTGGGGAGGATGTGGAACTCATTCCCAGAGAGAGTGGGCGAGGTGAATCCTGTCTACCGGTTTAAGGAGAAGCTGGGTAAACAACACAAGGGGAGAAAGGAACAGGATGGTTTGTCAATGGGGGTGAGCGAGACTGGTTGAGAGAGTAGGCTCTTGTGTAGCATGGAGCAGATGGGCTGAAAAGTCAGACTTTGCACTTTTCCAACATGGGGACCTGCACATATTAGTTGGGTTAAGCATCATTTTTGACTTGGGAGCCACATGTTTGTCCACAGGTATGGGATTCCGCAGAAGAGGAAAGGAACAGGATTGAAGCCAGAAGCAGCTCTGCTTGTGTGGGCCCCACACTAATAGGTTTAAAAGGGAAACGTGTTCCTGAGGGATCCTGGGTGTGGCACTTTCTCCCAGCAGCAACTTTTACTGGCAGCCTGGGGAGGAAGTTTGGAAGGGGAGGATGAGGCAGGAGTGAGGGAGGAGTGAGGGAGGAGAAGGCAAGAAGAGGAAAGAAGAAGGACGGTGAAGGGAGCGAGAAAGACGATGCTAGGGAGGAGGCGGAAAAAGTAGCTGGAGGGGAGAGAGACAGACAAAGTCAGAAGGGAGAAGATCGGAGAGGAAAGGGAGGGTGAGCAGGAGGACAGGCTGGTCGTATTGGAGAGGAAGATGAGAAGGAGCACTGGCAATCTTCTGGGATTAAACAACAGAAACATCCGTCTAAAATGAAGGAATACTGTCCGGACATCTCGATGGTGAGCTCATCTTGTGACCCAAACATTCCAGAATGGGACACAGACTCCAGTCTCCAAGGAAATGGCAATCTGCTCAGAGCCCAGTCTCCTGCGGGTCCCTCACACCCACCCATCCTCCCAGCCCAAACACAGGCCTGACTCAGATATCAGTTTCCCTTGGCTGTTTGTCCTTCTCTCCCAGCTCAGGTACATCAACTTCGGGAGACTTCAGGGCTCCCTTCTGCTGGATTTCCTGCCGGCAATGCAGGAAGACGTTGATAGGGTGACTATAGGCCAGGGTCACCAGGACGATGAATGCTATGTTCATCTGTAAGAGACAGAGAGAGAGAAACAGATGGGGTAAGAAAGAGTGGGAGAGGGAGAGACAGAAAGAGAGAGAAAGACAGTGACAGTTGTGTGAGACTGCAAGCGTGCAAGAAAGGAAGAGCGAGAGAATGAGAAAGAGTGACAGTGTGAGCATCAGAGGAGAGTGAGCATGAGAGAGACAGCGAATGTGACAGTAAGTGTGTGAGACAGTTAGAGAAAGAGTGAGAAAAGTATGCATGTGGGAGAGAGGGAATATGAGAGTGCAAGCATGTGAAAGACAGACTGAATGAGAGGAGAGAATGAGTGAACAAGCGAAAGACTCTGAGTGACTGAGAGAGCACAAGTGAGAGACAGAGAGAGAGACAGAAAGTGAGAGAGAGACAGGTGCCAAGCTCTGACCAAGGGATAGAGATTCTGAGCTAGACAGACTTTGAGTGACAGAAAGAGAGAGACTCTAGTTAGAGAGACACAGAACAAGACTTTGAATTCAGTGAATGGCATCACAAATCTGGCTGTGTGATTTGGAGCCCCGGCTCCTCTGATACTCACATACGTCGGGTCATCTTGCAAGGGTCCCTTGACCAGGGCAAAGCAGGGATACTGGAAGAGAGAAATGACTGCAGAGAGGGCCATCAATGTACCAAAGACCTTCCCAAAGTGGCAGGGAGGGAACCTGGAGGGGATATGATGAGAGTTAGAGAACTCGCAGGCCATTCACTCCATCTTCTCTGGGCTGGTGTTTCCGCTACACATCAGCTTTCTCATAGCCCAATATCCGGCTGGTCCCTTCTCCCTCGTATTCATTCGGCTTCCCCTTACATACTGACAGTATTCACCTCACCCACCCCTGTATTCCCGACAGCATGAATTATTGACCATCTTATGCTGATGGCCCCAGGTTCTGATCTCACCACAGGATGAAACATCAGGATGGTGTCACAATGCATTCATGTGCCTGTCTGTGTGCGCGTGTGTCTGTATGTGTATGTATCTGTGTGTATGTGCCTGTGTCTTTGTGTGTCTGTACTCTCTCCTACACGGGCAAAACATCTTCTCCATGTCCACTCTATCTAGGCCTCTCAGTATTCTGTACGTTTCAATCAGATCTCCTCTCATCCTTCTAAATTCCATCAAGTACGGACCCAGCGTCCTCAACCTCTCCCCATATGACGAGCCCTTCAGCCCTGGGATCATTCTTGTAAGCCTCCTCTAGACACTCCCACAATCCCCTCCCCACCCCAGGCCAGCACATCCATCCTTAGGTATGGGGCCCAAAACCGCTCATCGTATTCTAAATCATAAAATCCCTACAGTGTGGAAGCAGTCCATTCAGTCCACACTAACCCTCTGCTGAGCATTCCACCCAAACCCACCCCAACTACCCAGTCCCTGTAACCCTGCATTTCTCGTGGCTAATCCACCTAGTCTACACATCCCTGAACACTATGAGCAATTTAGCACGGCCAATCCACCCTAACCTGCACATCCCTGGGCACTACGGGACAATTTAGCACGGCCAATCCGCCTAACCTGCACATCCCTGGGCACTATGGGACATTTTAGCATGGCCAATCCACCCTAAACCGCACGTCCCTGGACACTATGGGACAATTTAGCACGGCCAATCCACCCTAACCTGCACATCCCTGGGCACTATGGGACAATTTAACATGGCCAGTCCACCTAATCTGCACATTTCTGGACTGTGGAAGGAACCCAGAGCACCTGGAGGAAATCCACACAGACACGGGGAGAATGTGGAAATTCCACATAGACAGTCACCTGGGGTTGGAACTGAACACGGGTCCCTGGCGCTGAGGCAGCAGTGCTAACCCCTGAGCCACTGTGCCTCCCAAGTGTGGTCCAGCTGGATGGCTAACTAGAGCAACTGTTTGGGATGTCAAAGGAAACTTCTGGTTTTGGACTACTGTTCCAGGTAAAAATTAGGATCAGAATTTCGGGCAGCGGGGCAGCTGTTGCGATGCCTGAAATACGTACCCGATGGCAACAAAGGCAGCGTGGCCCCCGTACAGGAAAGAGCGGTTGATCACTTGCAGGATGAAGGTCAGGTACTGCACAGGCAGTATGGGAATGGCAGCGGAGAGAGAGAACAGGACGCACTGTGTAACCGTGATGGTGAGGGACAGCACCGCCGACTTCATGTCGGCCAGTCGCTGCAGCGCACCGAAACCTGTGGGTGGAGTGAGAAAGAGGCATCGTTACAGACAGTAATTAAAATAAACACCAATGCTTCATGCATCTCTGAAACCTAACCCCACCAAATTCTCTGAATTTGACCCGCTATCTTTTAATCTTCCCATACTCAACAGATCACAGGATTATTCTGAGTTTATCTCACTCCCTCGTGGGCAGGATTCTGGTGTGCAGACGGCATTCTCCCTGTTGCCAAAAACATTCCCCTCGCGCACTCATCAGGACACACGCAAGAATGCCAAACTTCAAACTGCTACAACAATTTATAACGCAGGCGAGAGGGGGCGAATGGTGTGCCAGCTCCAGGCTGATTGCTTTCTGCACAGCAGCATGTCAGCTAATAGGGGAAACTGCGCTGAGCTCCTGGGTTACTTTGGGAGAAGGCACGAGATTCGAACAGATTCGATTTGTCAGAACAGAAAGGGTCGTTGCTCATTTGTGTGCATCACTTTGAGCAAGTACAAAACATTACGAGCTGTGGACACTCAGGCATCATGTACGTTGAAGACCGGGACTGAGGGGTTTCTTGAGTTGAAGGAAGAGGCTCGTGTTCACAGCTGAGTTAGCAGAGATGGTGAGGGTGCAGAGTGTCGAAAACTACGTTACCTGAGACAGCACTTTCAGCTGGCTTGGCTTTCCGTTTGTGCCGGTCCATGAGTAGTCCATTCCAGGGGGCACAGAAAACACCAAAAAACTGTGTGAAGGCGAAGGCATTTGTATATGTGCTGACTGAGGGAGAGAGATAAAATGGGTGGGGTGGGGGGATGGAATAGAGAGAGAGAGAGCGAGAGAGAGAGAAAGAAACGGGGGCGGGGAGAGAGAGAGACAGGGAGGAGGACAGGGGGAGGAAGAGAAAGCGAGAGAGAGAGAGAGATAAACATAGGCACGGAGAGAGAGAGAGACAGGAAGAGACAAACAAAAGAGACAGAGATAGGAAAGAGGACAGAAAAACGGGGGTGAGAGAGAAGTGGGAGGGGGAGACAGAAATAGGAGGAAGAGAGAGAAAAACAGGGAGAGAAAGAGAGACAGGGAGGAAGAGAGAGAGAAGAGAGACAGAGACAAGGAGAGATGAATGAGGAAATTGATGGACAGACAGAGATACATGGAGAAATGGTAGGACATGAAGTGAGATAATGAGAGAGACAGAGATATAAAGGGGAGGGGGGAAGAGAGAGAGAGGAATAGGGGAATGGAGGCAGAGAGACAGACATACAGAGAGAAAAAGCACAGGACATGGAGGGAAGAGAAAGGGAAAAGGAAAATAGAGGATATGGAGGAAGAGAGACAGACAGACAGACAGACAGGAAGAGAGAGAGGGAAATAGGGACAGAGAAAAAAAGCGGGTGTGCAGGTGAGAGATAGGGACATAGACAAAAGAGAGGAAAATGGAGACAGGAACAGGGGAAGAGAGTGATGGAGGGCAAAGAGAGAAAGAGGGGTAGCAGAGGGAGGTTGAGAGGAGAGACAGGGAGGAGGGGGGAGGGGAGAGAGAAGGAATTGGAGATAAGGAGCGAGGGGGAAGTGTGGAAAGAGGTGGAAGGGGAGAGACAGATAGAGAGAGAGGAGTGCATGAGAGAGAGAGGGACAGACAGAAAGATGAGGAGTGGGGAGAGGGGAAAAGTGTTATAACATATTTTGATAAAAGCAACACACTGCAGATGCTGGAACTCTTAAGAAAAAACAGAAAACACTACCGTTTCTGGAGAGAGAGAAACAGTTAATATGTCGAGTCCAGTCTGGCTCTTCCTTAGAGCCAAGAATCTGTAGCTCAAAATGTGAACTCTCTCTCTCTCCACAGATAGTGCCAGACCGACTGAGGTTTTGGTTTTATTTTTTATTTTTTGCTTATTCATTTTGTTACTATGATCTGAGGCATGAACTTGGGCAAGTCTCACAAGAGGATCACAGCCCATGGAACTGAGAATGTCCAGACTCAATGCTGATCCCTTGCAGACAGACAGAGAGATGGACAGGCAGGTGGGTGGACGGATTGTCCCAGGGGGACAAACACCTCCTGGTGAACGGTCAGGACAGATATGCGGCATTATCTTAAGCATCCACGTCCAGCACCTTGAGTTGTCACGTTGAGATGGCCAAGAGATTCCACAGATAGGGAGGGATTTAGGGGCTGGAAGTTGTTATGGGGATAGGGAGGTGTGTAGGGGCTGGAGAAGAAGTTACAGAGTTAGGGAGGGGTGTAGGTGCTGGAGGAGGTTACAGGGATAGGGAAGGGGTGTAGGGGCTGGAGGAGGTTACAGGGATAGGGAGGGGGTGTAGGGGCTGGAGGAGGTTACAGAGATAGGGAGGGATGTAGGGGCTAGAAGAGGTTGCGTGGATAGAGTCAGTCTGGGTCAGTGAATGGAGCAGATGACAGGTGATGGGGACTCGCTGCAGGTTAGGTCACACGGGCAGTTGAACTTTGGAGGCGAGCTCTGATATAATGGAGTCTGGAGGGAGTGAGGTTTGGGTGAAGGTTTTAGTGTGAAGTCTGGTGAGGTCACAGAGGAGGAGACAGACGGTTGTAGTGAAGGCACATAAGCAGGTCAGAAACCTCTCTCGTGGATAAATCCGGGGCTGAGGTTACAAATCATCTGACGTGGCTTCAGACGGGGTTGGGGGAGCTGAAGGTTCTTGCTATCACACCCCAAGTTCTTCCCTCAGTTTCACCTCCCTTTCCACCACTGACCTCTCCTACTGTGCACTCTGTCCCACTCTCTATGCCCTGCAGTCTCCTTCCTCTGACCACAGCTCGCTGTCTCTCAATCTACCTGCTCTCTTTCCCCTTCCCCTCCTGTTCAATTTTTCTTCATCCCCTTGTCTGAACTAACCACTGCTCTGCCAGTGCTTGCTCTGTCCTGTCACCACCCAAATCCTTTCCCAGTGCTCTCTCTTTCTTCACTCCCCATTGCCTCTCTCTTCCTTCCTACTCCCTCCCTTTTTCCTTCCTTCTTCTCCACTACCTCCTCCTTTCTCTTCTTTCTCCACTCCCTCTCTCTTCCTATTCCACTCCCTCTTTGTTCCCCTCCCAAACCCATCTCTTTTTTCTTTTTCCATTCTCTTTCTGATCATTCCTCTTCCACTCCCCCTCTATCCTTCACATTCCTTCTCTCTACCTTCCTTCCTCCCACTGCCTCCCTTCTTTCCTTTTCCTACTCCCTCTCACTCTCCCCAAACTTCCTTCTCTCTCTCCCCTCTCACTTCCACCCCTCCCCCACTGCCCCTTCTCTCTCCCTTCCGCCTCACTCTGCTCTCCCTTATCTTTTCCACTTCCTCTTTCTCCTCTCCTTCCTTCTCCACTCTGTCTCTCCCCCAACGCTCCTCCTGCTTTCTCCCTTTCGTTCCTCCACTCTCTCTCTCTTTTCCTTCCCTCACCCCTTCTCTCCCTCCCTTACCCACTCTTTGTCGCGCCCAGTCTCACTGCTGCTCACTCCATGTCCTCTGTGAGCAGTGACCGTCCGTACCTAGACTGGTGTCACCGTCGGCGAGCAGATTGAGCATGGGGTTGAGGGTGCCAATGAACAGGTAATGTCGGAGCTGCAGGATTGACAGCCAGAGCAGGTGGGTGAGGAACAGCTTCGAGAAGACACAGCTCCTGAAGGACGGGATGGCCTCCTCGTTCGCCTCTGGGCCTACAGTGGGAGGGGAGGAGAGACAGTGTTAAAATTACGTGACTGTACTGTACCTTTAAGAGACAGATGCTGATTCCCTTGCAGAGTGGTGTTGCTGTAGTGGTTCTGAAATGTCTCCTTCAGACAGGTAGTTGGGAAACAGGTTTTGAGTTCACCCTGGGTGTCTCTTTTTTTCCCCAAAATTAGACAAAGGAATCATGAGTGAGCAGGGTCACCCAGACATAGGAAGGTGTTTCGTTTTGCTTTCAGTTAGTTAGAAGGTCTGCTGAACTAAAAGCTTGAATTCTCTGCTGCAGTGAAGTCTTAGACAGCCAGGCTTCCTCTTAAAAAAAATGAAAAGTGGCAGATTATTTCATTCTTCTGGACTGGAGAGAGATGGCACATGAGAATCATAGCTGTTTTGCTGAACTGCATTTTTGCCAAAGGGTGTATTTATGGGACGCTGCCCATATTGGAATAGTTGATGGCTAGTAGTTAAATCTTATATTAACATGTGAAACATTTCAATAGAGTTAAGGTTATGCCAATTTTTTGTTTGCAGCCTGTGTCCATGGAAGCATAGAATTCCTACAGTTTGGAAGCAGCCATTCGGCCCATTGAGTCCACAGTGACCCTCCCCCCCTACACAGCATCCCACCCAGACCCATCCCCCTACTCTATCCCTGTAACCTTGCAAGTCCACCCTAAGCTACACATCCCTGGGCACTACAGGACAATTTAGCACGGCCAATCCACCCTAATCTACACATCCCTGGGTGCTATGGGACAATTTAGCACGGCCAATCCACCCTAACCTGCACATCTTTGGACAGTAAGAGGAAACCGGAGTACCCGAAGGAAATCCACACAGACATGGGGAGAATATGCCAACTCCGCACAGACAGTCACCTGAGGGTGGATTCGAACCTGGGTCCGTGGCACTGTGAGGTAGCAATGCTAACCACTGAGCCACCATGTGTTGTAAGAATAAAAGTGTGTTTTGATTCTTGGTGGACCAATTGAATCACATCTGAAACACCGCACCTTACACTTGCCTTTAAATAAATGTGAAAGTTAGGGTCTAGGCTATCTCCTTCCAATACTTTGGGGAGGGGTGGTTTTGGTCTAGTCCATAACACGGAGTTGACGAGAGCGAGAGAGAGAGAAAACAAGATTCCATGGTGTTTGGGACACTTGCAGAGAAAGTTCCAATCAGTGACAGAGGCTGCTCAGCCCTTCTTGTCTAGACTAGCACTGTATAAGGAAATCTCACTGAGGCCCTTGTAATTCCCAACCCCATTGCCCTGGAGACCTTTCCCCTTCCAGTATTTCTCTAGCTCTCCCTTTTGGAGTGTCCCAGTTGAATCTGTCGCTGCCATCCTTGCAGCCATTGTGTTCTGGATCGCTGCGTCAAATGAACATCCACCCTGCCCTTCTAGGCGACTCTTTTTTTCCTTTCCCGGTACTCTTCAATCTGTATCCTTCTGCTCACTGACACCAGAAACAGCCCCTCCCAATCCCGAGCTGATCGGAACCTCTCCCTGATTTTTTTCACACCGTGATTTAATCTCCATCCCCCTTTCTCTTTTCGGGTGTCCTGGAATTGGACCACGAGGTGCTTTTTCAAAGCGTATCCCTTCATGGAGTGCAGTCGTGTCTGGTGCAGCCAGCATTGGTTCCCCATTGAACTGATTGCCTTGGTTAATCATTTGTCTGCATGGGTATAATCTGGGTGCTCCGATTTCCCCCAACAGTCCGAAGATATGCAGGTTAGGGTGAATTGGTCATGTTAAATTACCCATAGTGTCCAGGGATGTACAGGCTAAGTGGGATGCTCTTTGGAGGGTTGGTGTGCACTCATTGTGTCGAACGGCCTGTTTCCACATTGTAGGGATTCTATGAATCAGAAGGTAGTCCGAAGTTAATTACACCACCTTGGATCTGCAGAAACTAGTTGGGCAGGAATGGCAGGATGTTACAGAACCAGACAATCTGGTACTTTTTTACCTAACAGTTGACCGCTTCGTGGCCACTGTTAATCAGACAGGCTTGCGAATCAAAACTTGATTGATTGACTATAAATTTCTCCATCTGCTGTGATAGGGTCTGAACCAGTGTCCCCAAAGCATCACCTGGGCCTCTGGATTATCACATTCCAGCAACATTACCGGTGTGCCAACTGCAAACATCCCCCAGTTCATGCCTAACCAGCATCAGGTAAAGGGCTGAGTGACAACCCTCCAGATTCTGGATTCAATCCTTTTTTATGAAGTCTAGGATCCCGCAGGGAAGCGTGGGAGTGGGGAGTGGAGCAAGGAAGGAAGGGGAATTAGGAGGAGATGGAAATGCAAAGAGGGACAAGGAAGTGGATGCGGAGGGGGTGACATTGCTCTCACCTTTTGAGCTGTTGTGCAGGAGACTTGCACCCTCAGTGGCCTTGAGCACCTCCTGCCCCTCAGCCTTGCCTTCTTCCGTCTCATCTCTCTGCTCACCCTTCTCTCCCTCAGTTCCTTCTCCTTCTTTTAGAGATTCGGCCCGGCTCTGATCTTTCACCCCTTGTTGGGATGTAAATACGTCAGGCCCCTCACATTGCGTCCTGTCCCAACAAAGTGAGAATTTCCGCGTGAAACACAACTTCCAGTTGTTACCAATCTCACAAACCGTTCCTTAAGAAACAATGAGGTGACTTTCTCTTCTCCCTGAATAGGCGGTGGAAGCACAATGCTTGAATATTTTTAAGGCAGATGTGTTGCCAAGCAATGGGGTGACAGCTTATTGGGGTAAGCAGTAATGTGGATTTGGGGGGAAATCAGCGATTAATTTGGGAAGATACTTTAAAAGGAATTGCTGACATTAGCAATAGACAGCCTTTAAAGAGCTATTACATGGCTTACAGTAACCGTACATTCCTTTGAAGCACAAAACTCAAAAAAGATTAAAAGAAAAGGCCCATGAAGTTGCCAGATTTACCAATAAATCTGGGGATTTGGCAAAGAAGAACCTAAGAGCTGACAAGGAAATGGAGAATGGAAAATGAATGCAATCTGGCAAAAAACATAAAAACGTCCTGTAAAAGCTTCTATGGATACATACAAAGGAAATATTTTTGGCTAAAACAAATGATGGTCTATTATGGAGACAGGAGAATTTATGATGGCGAATAGAGAAATGGCAGAGAAGCTCAATGATTACTCTAATTCTGTTTTCACTGAGAAATTTCCAGAAATAGAAATTCAAGTAACTCAGCCGAATAAGGAGTTGAAGGAAATCAGTATCAGGGAGAAGGTTACACTGAAGAAATTAAAGCTGACAAACCGCCAGAACAATACAATCTACATCACAGAGTGTTGACTGAGGTGATTATATAGACTACAAATCCACTGATTACATTTCAGTCTGTAACTCAGTCCCTGGAATCTATTATTCTATACATAAACCATCCTGAACACTTCAATTAGATTCCTGTCGGTAATCAGTGTCAGGTATTTATTATTCCATATATAAACTCTCCAAATTCCTCAATTACATTCTAGTCTGTAACTCACTCCCAGTATCTGTTAATCCATATATAAATTCCCCAGAACTCCTCAATTACATTCTAGTCTGTAACTCACTCCTATATTTCTGCTATTCTGTTTTAAATCATCCAAAGCCCTCAATTGTACTCAAGTCTGTTATTCATTTTCCTTACCCATAGGTGTAGCCATCTGGCAGAGGGTAGGGAATGTGTGACCGTGGGAGGAGCAGGTAGGTCCGTGCGATGTGGATGGAGCTGAGACAGCTGATAAACAAGAATATGTTCTTTAAGGACAAACCAGCCTCATACGCAACCTGCAGGGAGACGGACCAGGACTGAGTCAAACAACGGGTACATCTTAACATTGGATTGGATAAAGAGAGCAAGAGTATTGTCATAGAGTGGCCTCTCCGCATGTGCCAACTCACTCCCCTTCCCCACCACAGCTCTCGCAGCAATTTCTCTGTTCAATCACTTTCGTGGTCCCCAATTCCACTCTACCCCTGCGTTCCTCAATTTCTCTAGCTCTCTCTACCAGACCCCTCTGTCTTTGCTGCACACACTCTTCTCAGTTCACTCATTTTCCTAACACACACACTCCTTCTCGCTCAGAGGCCTCCACATCCGTCAATGTCAATCGTGTGCTGTCCCTTTCCCCCCCAACCATGGTCCTCTCTTCCTCTCCATTTTTTCCCCTGCATCCCTGGTCTCACTCAATCCCAGGTTCCCTCTTGGCCTCTTCCCTGCTCAGGTTTGTCCTTCCTCTGGCCTTGCCTCCCCCCTCCCAGCATAGAGGTCCTTCTCCATCTATTGCCTTGATGGGCCCTCTCTCTCCAACTACCCGTCCCATCATCAAATTCTGCAGGCCCCTCCAGACACCAATTCTTGCCTTTCTATGCACTAGCTCTCTGTTTTCCCCCTTTTCTATCTCCCCAGCTCTGTCATCTCTCCCGAGACCCGTCTCCAGCTCCTCCCTCCAACACCCCTCTCCATCCTGCTCTCGCCCTTCCCCGAGACCCCTCTTCATCTTTGAGCTGAGCCTGAAACCCCTCTCTGTAAACCACAACCCCAATCCCCGGACTTCCTGGGTCCTCATTCCATCTTCACCTTGCCCCAGCCCCCGAATGCCTCTTGATTGCTGGTGTTGAGTAGAATTTGGTTGGTCGCCCCTCGATCTTTTTCTTGTGAGCTGTCTCGTGTGCTGCTGCCCTCACCTTGATCACCAGGAACACAGCTGACGAGGAGTCAAATGCTCCGTTGTACAGAGTGATCACTGTAGACCGTCGCCTGCCAAATAAGTTTCCAACCTGGGGAGCAGACAGGAATGGAACAGTCAGTGGTGTTCTGAGGGTCCGTGGAACCTCTTGGAGCCATTTCCAATCAATGACCCCTCCCGAATAGTGGTGCCACACAGAGTAGGCAAGGCTCCTACTGTGGCCTTGTGCTAGGTTAGACTGATCTTTACTACCACACACACAAAGAGACACAAAGACACAAACGCAAACAGGTGTGTAGAGCTGAGAATTAAGAGCAGGATTTGGCCATCCACCTTTTCACAGTTGCTCGGTCATTCAATGAGATCATGGCTGATCTGACTGTAGTCTCAGCTTCACTTTCCTACCTGCCTCTGATAACCTTTAGCTTCCCATTCAATCACAGAAGCACAGCAGATAAGAGCAGGAATAGGCAATTTGGCCCCCGAGCTTGCAATCTGCTTGACTCAGCCCCGAATATAGTGATCCACAGCTCTGCTGCTCCCTGGGGAGATAATTCCAAAGAAAAACCACCCTTCGAGGGAAAATAAACTGTTCTCATTGAGTCATACACAGCATGGAAGTAAACCCTTTAGTCCAACACGCCCATGCCAACTATTTTCCCCAAACTAAACTAGCCCCACTTGCCTGCGTTTGGCCCATATCCCTCCAAACATTTTCTATTCATGAGCTTATCCAAATGTCTTTTAAACGTATCTGTACCTGCATCCACCACTTCCTCTGGCAGTTCATTCCGCATATGAAGCAATCTCTGTGTAAAAAAAGTTGTCCCTCATTTCCTTTTTAAATATTTCTCCTCTCACCTTAAAAATACGGCTCCTAGTTTTGTACTCCCACCCTAGGGAAAAGACCCTTACCATTCCCTTTATCAATGTCCTTCATGATTTTATAAACCTCTACAAGGTCACCCCTCAAACTCCCACATTCCAGTGAAAAAAAAAAAGTCCCAGCTTATACTTATAACTCAAAACTTTCATTCCCAAAATATCCTGGTGAATCTTTTTGGAACCTTCTCCAATTTAATAATATCTCATAGCAGGATGGCCAGAACTATACACAGTACTCCAGAACAGGCTTCACTGATATCCTGTACAACCTCAACTTGACATCCCAACGCCCATGCTCAAAAGGTCTAGCAGTGAATCCTTATTACCTCTTAAATAGTAGCCTCCTCGATATGAAACTGTCCCCTGTAGCTCTAGACCCTCTCTCTCCCTCTTTCTCCTTCTTGTAAGGGCAAACATCCTCTCAGTGTCCACCCTGTTGAGACTCCTCACGTTTCAGTAAGACTACCTTTTATTCCTCCTAACTCCAAAAGACAAAAGGACTGCACTGGTCAACCTTGCCTCATAAGATAACGCCCTCATACCAGGAATCAGTCAAGAGAACCTGCTCTGAAGTGCTTCGAAGCCAATGAGATACTCTCTTTAGTAAGGAGAACAAAAGTGTGCCTGGTGATAAGCTGAATATGACAATCTTTCTGCACACAGTAGGATGACCTCATTTACTGAGCTTTCTTGATTATCGATCTTTATTATAACTGAAACCACAGGCGTCTGTTTCCGGTGACTAATGGAAAGATGGACTTGATCCAAGAACTTACAAATGGACCAGGGTTGCACATACATTAAATCATTAATTTTATGCTTTAGTTAGACGGTGGTGTACTTTTTATTGTGTGGACGCAGACACAACTGAGTATGTGAAGGCAACATTCCAAGCATTGCTACCATAGATAGAAACATAACCATCAGTGATTACCTGTATATTTGTCATAAGGAACAGGATTCCGCCAACTGCAAGCAGACAGAGAGCAGGAAACAGCAGCACTGCAATATCTGCAACAAAGAGAGAGTGTATAAGACCGAAAGAACTTGCATTTAGACAGTGCCCACTCCCTCAGCACTGACCCTTCGACAGCGCGGCGCTCCCTTAGCACTGACCCTCCGACAGCGCGGCGCTCCCTCAGCACTGACCCTCTGACAGCACGGCGCTCCCTCAGCACTGACCCTCTGAGCTAGACTCACCAGCATGCGAGAAGGCAATCATCAGGGTGCCTGTGGTGTATAGGAATCTGGGGAGAGAGGAAGAAGAACACAACATTACTCTGAAATAAAACTAGGATCTTTGGACACTGGAAATCTGAATAAAAACAGAAATGGCTGGAGAGAGTCAGCAGGTCTGGCATCATCTGTGGGATACAAAGCAAAATTAACGTTTCAAATCCAATGAACCTTTCTCCGAACTGCACCTTATTCTGAGTTTGACTTTGCTTGTACTCTTAACCTAATGACCTGTAAAGAAATAAGCCCCCGCACTTAACTACTGACTCTTACGACCTGAGAACACCCAAAAACTGCTCGCTGGCCAGTGATGTAACTTCGGAAACAGCGTCATTTGACTCATTTTCAATATACTGAACTTGGCAGAACCAATTGGCTTCACTGTCTTTCGAATTTTGAAATTGTATTTTATTCATAAAAATATCTTTACATACATACATCATTCAAGCAGTTCGGTTCTGTACAGTAGCGTATAAAGAAACAAACAAACTTTGGAGTTTGTTTCTATCCAAACAGCCAAAGGCATTTCTAACTTGTACCAGGCTACAATTAGATATATTGGATGGTCCGATAACTGAACAGACCCCTATTTAACTTCATCAAAAAGGCCTCAGACAGTGGTCTTTTCCCATTGCACCTTGCCTGCAGCTAGCCCAAGCTTCGGTGCGTATGTAGTTCTGGACCTTGGAATGTGCCAGACTGCAACACTTGGTCAAGGTCAACTCCTTGCTCTGGAAGACCAACTAGTTTCAGGTAGACCAAAGAGCACCTTTCACCGAGTTGATGTTCCTCCAGGTGCAGTCGATGTTTGTCTCGGTGTGCGTCCTGGGTAACAGCCCCGAGAACACATCATGGAGCTGCTCAGGACGAACCTTGACAATAACCCTTGTATCGTTCTCCAGACTTCCTTTGCAAAGGCACATTCCAGAACGGGATGTGAGATATTCTCTAATCCTCTGCACTGCTCTGAGAGCAGCATGAGATGGTGCAGGGAGTCTAGACGTACTTGAAGGATCTCACAGGTGGTGCCCTTTTCACCACCAGCAAAGTGATGGCTTGGAGCTTGTTGGAAACTTCTGGTGATGAGGCATTCTGCCAAATGACTTCGACAGTCTGCCCAGGGAACAACCTGACAGGATCCACCCCCTCCTTTTCCCACGGGGTCTCGCCGATGGTACGTGCTGGCCATTTCCTGATGGACTTGTGGCCAACGGTATTTTCTTTGCAAATTTCTCCATGAAGGAACGGTCCAACGACAAACGTTTGGTGGTAAATGAGGCCAGTCCCATCCTTCGCAACACCGGGACAACTCAGTATGCAGTGACACTTGGTGTTTGCGTACTGAGGGTCAATACACGACGAGATGCAGCGCACATAAAGGTGGCGATCAGAATGAGGGCCGCATTGGCAAGATCAGAGTTTTGTAAATGGTGTCCCTGCGGACATGGTCCATCTTCGAGCTCCAGATGAAGTGAAAGATGGCTTGGGTGACTGCAATGGCACAGATTCTGGGAATGGGCCACTCACGCCTGATGACCAGATTTTTACCTGCAATGGAGAGAGCGGTGTTTCCAAAAGCTCAGTTTCTGCCTCACCTTGGCAATATACTCCTTCCACGTTTTTGCGTATGCCGCAAAGCCTCCGAATCATATTCCCAGCACATTCAGATAGTCTGTCCTGATGGAGAAGGGACTCAAGAATCAGTTGGCTCAGTTCCCAAAGAATATTCTCAATTGCTGTGGCTCCCAAAACCAGTTTGAACTGGTCACAGATGCTCATGAGTCTGTGCACTGACACCGGATCCATGCAGAAAATAGCGACATCATGCATTTCCAGGAAGGCTTTGAGCTGCAGGCCTCCATTGCCTGGAATAGTCACCCCTCTCAGGCTCGCATTCTTCCTGATGGATGGAGCAAAGCGCTCTATGCGACAAGGCAGGGGGAGAGTGAGCAGCCCTGCCTGACTCCTGATCTGATCAGGAAGCTTTCTGATTCCCACCCATTGATTGACACTGCGCTAACGATGTTGGTGTAGAGCAGTTGAATCCAATTGCAGATTCCTTCCCCAAAGCCCATTTTGGACAGCATGCTCCTCATGTAGGTAAGCAATATCCGTTAAAGGCCTTCTCCTGGCCCAGGCTGTTGAGGCAGGCATCCACCCTGCCCCTGTGGAGCATGTAAGCAATTGTATCCCTGAGGAGCGCATGGCTGTCAAGAGATCATCCTGCCTGGTACAGCACAAGTTTCATTGGGGTGAATCACCAGTCTCAGGGCAGACCTGACCTGATTGGCAGTGACTTTAGACAGGATTTTGTAATCCAGATTTATCAGTGAAAACGGTTGCTAATTTCTAATTCTCTCCCTCTCCCCTTGTAGATGAGTGTGATGATACCTTTCCTCACGGATTCGCACATGCTACCTGGTAGAAGCATATTGTCCATCAAGTTCCACTGAGCTGAATGCAACTCAGCTGGTAAGCTGTCACTTCCGTGAGTTTTATTCTTTTCTCATCAAAAGGTAATGGCTGGTCCAACTTTTCCCACATGCTGTTGTCTAAGACCTCTGTGATAAAGTGACCAGTGTCATAGAGTCACAGAGATATACAGCGCAGAAACATACCTTACGGTCCAACTTGTCCATGCTGTCCAGATATCTGAAATAAATCTAATCCCATTTGCAGCATTTGGCCCATATCCCTCTGAACACTTTCTATTCATATACCCATCTAGACACCTTATAAATGTTGTCATTGTACCAGCCTCCACCTTCCTCTGGCAGCTCATTCCATACACGCACCATGCTCTGCATGTTGCCCCTTAGATCTCTTTTAAAACTTTCCCCTCTTACCTTAAACCTATGCCCTCTAGTTTTGGACTCCCCCGCCCAAGGGAAAAGACCTTGTCTACTTACCCCATCCATCCCCCTCATATTTTATAAACCTATATAAGGTCACCCATCAGCCTCTGAATCTCCAGGGAAAATAGCCCCAGCTTATTCAGCCTCTCCCTATAGCTCAAACCCTCCAACCCTGGCAACATCCTTGTAAATCTTTTCTGAACTCCTTCAAGTTTCACAATATCTTTCCTATAGCAGGGAGACCAGAATTGCACCCAGTATTCTAATAGTGGCCTAACCAAGGTCCTGTACAGCAACAACATGACCTCCCAACTCCTATACTCAATGCACTGACCAATAAAGGCAAGCATACCAAATGCCTTCTTCACTATCCTATCTACCTGTGACTCCAACTTCAAGGAATTATGAACCGGCACTCCAAGGTCTCTTTGTTCAACAACACTGCCCAGAACCTTACCACTGAGTGTATAAGTCCATCTCTAATTTGCCCTTGTATGCTCTTATAGGTCTTGTAGGGAATCACTCGATTTCTTCTGTCTACACCTGACATATGCTTCCTTCCTATTCTTGACCATAACCTCAATTTCTCTAGTCATTTAGCATTCCTTACAGCTACCAGCCTTGCCCTTCACCCTAACAGAAACATTGTGTCTCTGGACTCTCGTTATCTCATTTTTGAAGGCTTCCCATTTTTCAGCTGTCCCTTTACCTGCAAACATCTGCCCCCAATCAACTTTTGAAAGTTCTTGCCTAATACTGTCAAAATTGGCCTTCCTCCAAATTAGAATTTTAACTTTTGAACCAGATCTATCCTTTTCCATCACTACTTTAAAACATAGAATTATGGTCTCTGACCCCAAAGTGCACCCCCACTGACACCTCAGTCACCTGCCCCACCTTATTTCCCAAGAGTAGGTCAAGTTTTGCACTTTCTAGTAGGTACATCTGCACACTGAATCAGAAAATTTTCTTGTACACACTTAACAAATTCCTCTCCATCCAAGCCCTCAACACTATGGCATGTTTGGAAAATTAAAATCTTCCACCATAACCACACTATTATTCTTACACATAACTGATATCTCCTTAAAAATTTGTTTCTCAATTTCCCATTGACTATTGCTGGGTCTATTGTACAATCCCAGTAAGGTGATCATCCCTTTCTTATTCCCCTCAGTTCCATCCAAATAACTTCCCTGGACATATTCCCAGGAATATCTTCCCTAAATACAGATGTAGTGTTACTCCTAATCAAAAATGCTACTTCCCCATCTCTCTTGCCCCTCTTTCTATCCTTCCTATAGCATCTATACCCTGGAATATTAAGCTGCCAGTCCTGTCCATCCCTGAGTCACGTTTCTGTAGTTAATATGATATTCCAGTCCCATGATCCTAACCATGCCCCGAGTTCATCTGCCTTACCTGTTAGGCCTCTTGCATTGAAGTAAATACAGTTTATCAGTCCTATCTTGTTCTCTATTTTGTTGCTGCCTGCCCTGACTGTTTGACTTACTCCTTTTCCCAACCATATCAGTCTCAAACTGATCTCTTTCCTCACTATCTCCTTGGGTCTCACCCGCTCCCCGTACTAGTTTAAAACCTCCCGACTAGCTCTTGCAAATCTTTCTGCCGGTACGTTAGTCTCTGTCGAATTCAGGTGCAATCCGTCCTTCTTATACAGGTTGCATCTACCCAAAAAGACAATCCAATGATCCAAAAAATGTGAATCCTTCTCCCCTGCATCAGCTCCTCAGCCACGCATTCATCTGCTCTATCCTCCTATTCCTACCCTCACTAGCTCATGGTATTGGGTATAATCCAGACATTACTACCCTTGAGGACCTACTTTTTAAGTTCCTGACTAACTTCCGATATTCTCTGCTCAGAATTTCGATTAGTCTTCCACTTTGTAAGTACAGGGCCACTCTGTTGGTAATGCTCTGTGTTTATCCACAGTACACAAAGGGTTAGATGTCTTGGAGGCTGTTGATGACTTTCTGTGGTTCCCATTTCCACAATCGGGGACTAGTGCTATGAGACTCTACTCGGGTTGACTGTAATGGGATGCCAGGCTGAAAGATAGGTGAATCGAGTAGATTTTTCAAAATTCATTCATGGGATGTGGGCGCTGCTGGTCAGGCTAGCATTTATTGCCCATCCCTAATCACCCAGAGGGCAGTTAAGAGTTAACCACATTGCTCTGTGTCTGGCGTCACATATAATCCAGACCAGGTTTCCTTCCCTAAAGGACATTAGTGAACGAGATGTGTTTTTGCTCTGATAATCAGCAACAGTTTCATGATCATTGTTAGACTCTTAATTTCAGATTTTTGTTTTTTTTTATTGAATTCAAATTCCACTGTCTGCCGTGGCAGAATTCAAACCCAGGTCCCCGGGACATTACCTCTGAATTGATAGGCTAGCAATAATACCACTAAGTCACTCCCTCACCTTCAACAAACAT